CTGATAGCTGATCCCTTTGACACCTCATGATCACACAGGCTGGTGTGCTTCTTCCATGTAGGCTTTGTTACTTCTGAGCTAGATGGCCCCTTGTTTACCTTCAAGACTTTAAGACCCCAGACACTATATCTTTTGATAGCCGGGCACCAACAGCTTTCTTCACCACTTTTGCTTATGCACCCATTTGTCTTCAGCAAGGTGAAGGTGAGCACACAATGGTATGATTTTTTTGTTCTTTGATGTCTGATTCCTGATCCCTTAGACATCTCATAATCACACAGGCTGGTGTGCTTCTTAGGAAGGAGTTCTAGTGCTAAATGCGAAGTCAGCAGTTCAAAACCACCAGCCTCTCTAAGGGAGAAAATGGGGTTTTCTGCTCCTGTAAAGCATTACAGTCTCAGAAACCCAAGGGGTCAATTCTGCTTTGTCCTGGAGGGTGGCTATGAATCAGAACCAACTCTGTGGGAGTGAGTAGGGAAGGAGACCAGGAGCTCGGGCGGCGCCCTGGTTCAAGCACTGGACTGCGAACAGAAAAGCTAGTGGTTTGACCTGCTCTGTGGAAGAAGGACGTGGCCATCTCTCACAGCAGTTCTACCGAGTCCCATAGGGTCACTGCAAGTTGGCACTGACTCAAAAGCCAACGGGTTTGGGAAGGAGGACGGCTCTTTAGGATCCAGACTGCTCCAGTTTTTGTGTGTCCGTATTTACTTTTGACTGGAGGCTAACGTTGTAGAAATGAAGCTGTACGTCCTCTGGGATCCGATCATTCAGAAAGGCAATGAACACTTGTGAACCTAAATGTTTTTTCGACATTCCCACTGCTACGGGATCAATTCTGATGCATCGTGACTTTATGTAGAGATTACAATTCTTTTTAGAAGCAAACGGCCTCATCTTTCTCCTACAGAGTGGCTGGCCAGTTTGAACCACCCACCCTGAAGTTAGGAGCCCAACACTTACCCAGCAGCACCAGCAGAGGCATTAAGAACTTAGAACACCATGTCTCTCAAAGCAGTTCTGTGTGAATAGGTTTACAGAGACCAACAAGTGGTTATGCAAATCCAGCATTCCCTTAACTCACAGTAAATAAAAACGCTGAACTTCTAATGCTTTAAATATACCAAACATTTAAGAAAACTCTTTCTTACAGGAATTGCTAGTTCAGAAGCTCTTTAAGAATCCAAGTTTACACAATTCAGTTGTCATTAATGTTTGGACAATTAAACTGGGTTAGTAACTTTGGTTTATTCTCTAGGTTATGGCTACATTATAATCTTTAAATAAGATCTGGGCTAAACCCCTCAGGAC